AAAAAAAGTTGAAATAAAGTGATTAAACAAAAATTATTACAAATATCGTAAATAACAGTTCACAAATGCATATATAGAGATATTTTTTGAAGGGGGAAATGGTCTTCACAATTTGAAATCGATCGAACACACTGTGCCCGAATGCTCGTGTAAACGCGCGCCATCTATCGTAGGATAAATGTACTTCGCGGAGGAGTGTATTAAAAAATTAAAAAACTTTCCAAAGCTTCTTGGCAATCGTACTACGCCACAAACCTTCGCTGGAGTATATTAAACAACTTCCCAAAGTTTCACGGCAATCGGATAAACGGTGTGGTAATGCATGAAGGACACACACACACACACACACACACACATACATTCATTTTTATATATATAGATAAAAACAATTGACAATAAAAACTAAAAAGGCATACTGGAGAGATCTTGTAAAGTAAATTTTAAAATATTCCAGCAACGAATTGCTTAACTTTCCCGGCAACATTTGACTGTGCCATCTCTTATCATATTTTACTATAAAAACTTTTTATAATTTTAACTATTATAAAATGACAAAAAGCTTAATTTTGAGGGTTTTATATAAAAAAATATAATGCTAATAACGAGTAAATCGTCATCAAGTTTGACCCTACTGGAGATACACACGACCCCTTTTATCTTCCCACTTCCTGGACTTTTAATCACCAAAATTTAGTAGCATCAACCACCCTAATACACAAACCGCCCTGCAAAATTTCAGAAATTTTCGACAAAATGCACAGGAGTTATTAAGGTTCTAACAGGGTTAATAAAATCGTGCCCCCAAACTCTAACATCCATACAAACAGAAATTACATCCGAATTTTTTCCTTTTTTGACATTTTAGGGTATCCTGACCTCAAAAATGTAAAAATCTTGTGGGGTCATTTTTTGACTGATGTTTATAATTTTCTTCTGTTATATATAACAGGCGGGAAAGCAATAAAATAAAATTAGAATAGAACTCAAATAATATAGGAAAGAAGACAAAAAAAAAAACATGAGATAATTCTTCACCTAATTTTTTTTCTAATTCATCGCCACTAAATATTCGTAGAACACTTTCTCTCGTTTGGTTATGGTTAATGGCGATGAACGCCCGTGGCCACACAGTCCTTAGCTGAAAAATGTTCGAAAATAAAAACTCGCGTAGCGTAATACGTAGTACTCGTAGATATGTGGAGTAACAATAATAATGTCAACTTGAAAGTTTAACTGTATTTCGTAATTTGTTTGTGACTTTAAATCTATTTATCTTTGAAAAATCTAGAAGAAATTCCATACGGAATATCCGTCGAAAAATGAACAATACTTCCGCGCGTAAATAACTCGTCGTTTTGATAACACGCCAACAGATGACACATACAGTTAGTGTGAATCAACTTTTAAAAGAAATTTAAAAGAAAAATAAATCTTCCAAAATTTTAGGAATTGACCCCTGGACGAAAGTTTTCGTAAATGAGGAGAAAGAAGGAAAACCCAACGCAATAGTGAGAGAAACCAAGAAAAGGAGGATAGATAGAAGAAGTGGATGATTTCGAACAACCACAGACCATTCATCTCACCCGCCATATTCTGAATAGGATTCTTAGTGGCCATCCGTTAGCTAAGATTTAGTACTTATATTCAGATATAGATCTCTGTCAATCATCCTTATCATTTTGTTAAACCAAAAAATATTATATATCAATAATTACATCAAATTATTTAATATTATTATTTACACGAGAATGAAATCTTGTAAATAAAAGACACTACACGAACCGAAATTCTCGACTTTGGTTTAATATTAAACTTAAAATATTTTGAATATTACTCCACTCCAAATATACATTTAATCGTGGAGTGATAAAAAAAATTATCACTCCACGATTAAATGTATTGACTTAAATGATATAGAAGCGTTAACGCTGCCGCTGATAATTGCTATAATCTGTATTACGCATTGAATAAACATTTGCTCCTTATGTCAAAATTTAACATGAAATATAGTAAAACGTAAACATGAAATAGTAGATATTTAATAAAATAATGATAATCAAGTAGTATTTTAATATTACACACTTACGTAAGTATATTATAATTACTATAACACAATAAAACTACAGTCTTTAGAATTATTTAACTTTAAACACTAATTAATGGTTACGTTTTAGGTAAGATTCACGATACCGGAAACAACCAAATATGATATAGAGAAATCATTAATTATTTTTATCTATTAATTTATTATTAATTTACTTTCACTTTATTATAAAATTAGAATTAGAATGCTTATTCCGGTCGGGGCATTCTGCAAGAATTTCGATTTTGTTTTTGCCTTTCAAATGCAAATGGCACAAACATGAAACGTGGACTTAGGGGCCGTCCATAAATTACGTAAGGTATTTTGGAATGGGTAGGGGTCAAGGATTTCTTACGATTTCTTACTCGGGGGTAGGGGGTAATAGATCTCGTCTTACGTAATATTCTTATTTTTATGTTTTGCTCTCGTTGAGTGGTGGAGTTTTGAATTTGGCTTCAATTTGGCGGTTTCTATTAAGAACGTTCGTTGTACTAAAGCCATCTCGTATAACGTGATAAAATAATAACGCTAGCAGACTCATGCTCTACACGTTTTTTCATGGGAGAAAGGCCGTGTGGTTCTCTCTCTCTCTCTCTTTTTTTTTTTTTATTAGAATAAGTGCACCACTCCTATGGGTGTATAACACTAAGATGTGTATAACACTAACATAAACCAAAGTACACGATACAAAGTAAACATAAAATTAGTATTCGGCTTTTAGTGAAAACTAAAATGTAAAACTAGATATTAGAAATTATAGTCTTTTCTTCCATGTTTTTTAACATAATTGTAAAAAGCATCAAACAGTGGCTTCTGAACAAGCTTATCGAGTGGACATGGCCACCTGAATCCAAGCGTAAAGATTTCTAATTTCAGAATAAGTGTATGTTGATCGTAAATTGGACAATGATAGATCATATGGCAAATGTTAAATCTCTAAGTGGTGATGAGATCCTACATTCAACACTAGGAAAATAAAGTCTTGTTATACTACCAGTTTTACTGTTCAACCATTGTTGATTCCACTTTTGCATAGCGTTGTCATGAATATAATTTTTAAGGCTGCTACGTGAGAGAGGGATGTGAGTGTAGTCCAAATCAGTGTCCTTTGCAGCTGACTTAGCCTCAATGTTGGCTTTTTCATTTTCTAGTATGCCAGTATGGCCAGGAAAATATATAAAAGTTATCTTATTTACAAGATTTTTAATATGGTGCTGGATATATGTGATTTTATTTCTATTGCAATTGGGATTTAATAGAGCTTTTAGGACAGACTGAGAATCACTGTAAATGTTGATAGACAGAGTTTTGTTTGGTAGTGAAGTGGCCCACTGAACAGCTTGGTAATCAGCATCTTCTTCAGTTTGATAGATGGAGGTATGTGGGAAGTATCTGTACCATCTAATATATTTTGGGCAAAATATGTCAGTTTGGAGGAAGATACAGTACTTGAGCCAACATGAAGGGAGCTTTTAGACCCATCTGTGTAGATATTAATGTCTGCATGGTTATCCATGGAGGAAGCAGATGACACCAAATGTACCCTGTGTACACTAAATGTGATCATCAACTTGTGTACATGGTGATGATCACATTTAGTAGGGTAATTGCAATGTGGTAACATATGAACAGCTGTAGATAGGAGTAGAGACTGTTGTTGAGCTTCGATGTTTGTGGTTCTGATGTAGTAGTTTAGAACCTTTTCTTACAATACATAGTGCAAAAGAAGGAGCTCTGCTAGTATCAGAGGCATTAGTAGAAACAGTTCTTAGGCACTTCGAAATTATGATGGCAAACTGTCTTTGAAGAGAGAGTAATTTAGTTGCTACTGAATTTTTACTAGTTACATGATCCAAGCTAGAGGCCGCGTAAAGTAGCATTGGTTGTATTGTCCCATTATATAGAGTTTTACAAGCTCTATGATCTATTCCTCAGGTTAACCACAGCCGGCTATACCATAGGGCGAACGGAGCAGCCGCTCCACGCGCTAAGTCCTAGGGGCGCCTCAGTGGTAAAAAAAATTAAAGGAAAAAATGTTTTTTTTCACTTTTCGATATTTTAATTGCAAGCGTGTGGCCAGTATGTGAATGGTTTTATCTGTTGAGAAGAACGTGGGTCGAGTGCGTGGGCGGGGTTCCACCTCGGGCGCCATAATAGTATCTCGCTCTATCCTAAAACTTGCCTAGGGCCGGCACTGCACCTAGCACATTTTAGCAGCATGTAATTTATTTTATTGACCTTATCCAAGATGTAATTAATATGGCAACGGAATGTGGTTTCTACTCGCTCTTGTTTTATTTTGTATAACGTTTCTGTTTACACGTGCACTAGCTTGTCGATCTATCAAAGTTTTTTGCGTCCTTTTGTGAAAATTAAAATTAATATAAAAATGAATATTATGACGTTGATTAATGATGGTGATAATAAAAATAATAATAAAATTTCACATGTTTCGTTAAGAAAAAAATCAATTTGATTAAGTTTGCCTCCATTTTTATATACACACAAACAGAAAATCTATACAGTTACGTACTTTGAATCAAAGTATACTCAAATGTCACATCTATTGCTACTTTGAGTACGAAACTTCTTATCGAGGCTTCAAATTAAATAAATAAATAATAGATGTATAAATTTCATTTCTTAATCTTAAATGTCAAAGGACAGCAATGATGTTTAAATGTCAAATGCATAAATAATTGATTTTAATTTCTTGTCTAAAAATTTCTGGAAAGACATTCAAATTCTACAGACTTTCCATTATAGAACATGTATCTTTAAACCTGATGCAGACCTCAGGAAGAGATTGAAAACATTGTTACTGAAAGGACTTAGGTTTTTGTTGCGTATTTTATGAAACAAGTTTCCTTCTTTATTTAGTTCTCGAAGTTTCCAGTGATAAATTTGCGCAAGAACAGAAGTAAAATGGCAAGCCTAGGTCGTTTGAGTCATCGAAAATAACCGAACCAAAGTAGAAATTTTGCCGAGAGTAAATTTACATAGGCGATTGCGGTCGAAACGGTTTATTTTGCTAAAAGTAAAAACTTGTTAAAAACAATTTTCTTAAAAGCAGATCCCACTGCATAACAAATCACATGTCCTCAATTTTGCAAAAGGACTAAAATAAAAATAAAAAAAAGAAAACAGTGGAATCAAAACACAACTCTCCATAGCAACAGAGCTTTTGTTAGCTGTTTAATGTCTTTTCAATTTAAAGTTTATAAAGATTCTTTAAAATGGATATTCTAATCATTGTAACAGACCAATGTTTAAAATCTATAAATCCATTTACCTGTACCTTTTTTATGTTCTATATTTACTTGGATACTTTTGGCGTTCATCCAAGGAAATAAAATAATATAGATTACTTACAAAGAAATAAAAGTAAATAAGACTCCGATGGAATAATGATATTTTTCTTATAGTTTTGGATTTCTAAAATTTTATGGCTTTTTCGATTTGTGACAATTTTCGTGCTGTGCTAATTTTTGTTCGGTTTTAATACAGCTTTGCATCTATTCTGCATGCTTTGTAATAATTACTTAATTCTTAATTTTATGATCTCGCATATCCTAAATTTAAAAAACAACAAACATTGTCACATTAAATATGCAGAATATTGCTTTCAAAGTGTAGAATGTAGTTTATGAGTTTTGATATAAACGATTTTAAAAATATTTTTACAATCTCTATAAACTGTATAATATGTAGGAGGAACAAATGGGGCAATGTGAATGGGCATTAGAATGAAGAGCAGTAGAAGAAAAACCAGTTGTAAATGATTAGTTTAAATAAAAAAGCCCGACAAACAAAATATAAATATGTATTCTACAGATTGTGAGAATAAGTTACAAATTTCACAAAAAACATATTTAATTTCTTATATAATTTCTTTGAAATTGATTTTTCGAGACAAACCAGTCTGGACATTTGCCCGATTCTTTTTCTTATAAAAGGAAAACATTCACGCAACTTTACACTTAAAAAAAAACCTGGCTACGAGCAAATAAATTCAAAAACCGGTTAACTTCTGATGACGATATTTGTTTGGCTCGTTGCATCTTTTGCCGATCGTTTACGGTTATGTACTAAGGAATTAGAGCAATTACAAAGCATGCTAATTGCAGAAAGCATAAAATGAAGTACTGTACATCATCTCATTTACCTTTCCTCCAGTGATAACACTGGCCGATGAAGTCACTCTTCAAAGATGGCAACCCTATCTGTAAATTTTTCAGTAAGAACTTTTAACAGAAGAACAGAACATGCTAGAATCACTCGATAATCATATCAAAAGATAAATGCTAAAAGGAGTTTGGAGCAAAGAAGAAGAATAATACATAAGTTCTTTAATAACATCAAAGAAGGTAGGCTAATTAAGATAATTGGAAACAAAACATTATGCATGCCTTTGACACAATTACTTCCAGTAGCAATACATGTAAGAAATATACGATTAAAGTAAAGATATATGCAATTAACTATGTCAGGTAATGGACTGAAAAAATATGACAAATATACGGCAGAGGATACACTATCATAGCAAGATCACTATAATAGGGTCGACCAGTCCGTGGTCCGGTAGCAGCCGCAAGACTACATCTCAAACTTAAAAATATGTAACTCGAGAATGACTAATAAAATATTTCTGCTACATTCCCAATGTAATGAAACTGAAAAACCAAAAAATTTATACAAGTCCAAAATTAGTATCTGGAAATATGCTGTTAAGTAAATGCCTCAAACTGTAGGAAAAGCTTTTCTCTCTCACAGTTTGTTTTGCATATGGGACATATGAAAAGTTACCATGCAGTGGAAAAGGTTTAAGTACATTTTCAATAAAAGTGAAGTTTAACGTATGATAATGCAATTTCTCACACAGCAAATGCCTCAAATGTTGCCAAAGGTCCCAAAATATGGGAGAAGAGTCTGGACAATTGCTAGGCCAAATTCTGCATGAGATTATGTAATCAGCAAAGAAATATTCCAAAAGCTAGAAGGTCCTTAAGTGAGGTTAACTCCATCCACCTCAAGATAGAAATGAGGAATGTATGACTTACGGGTCTCGTATGCAATGTATACAGTGGGTCTGTATGTATCACGGGTCTGTATGTATAATTTTAATGTCGTTACAAATTTTTCACTGCACGGTAACTTTTCACACAGCCCGTACACACTGCATTAAAGTAATTTCAAATAATCGAATCCAAGATTGTTAGATATGTAAGATGTATATAACCGGTACGTGTCATGCAAAAAAGTAAGAAACATAAATTTTATTTGGATTTGACTGTAATGTCATTAAAACAACACATTTAAATCTAAATAATACCTCTTGTTTCAATCAAACATTTATGATAGTTGCAAAACAAGTCTAGGATAATTATTAAAACCGATATTAATTTAAATGCATTTTGCATAGTCCAAAACAATAAAACGTTAACAAATTTACCGTTTAGTTTATTTCGGAGTAAAACAAGCTGGCAAAATTATAATTTAACCGAAAATGTATTTCGTAGTTTATTAATTTAGATTGCTATCAATTAATTAAGGACAAATTATCATTATAATTATTCATTAGTGCCATCTATTAGTTTAGGAAGGTTTCTATTAATTACCTCTTCGTTAGCGTGCGTCAGTTCTTCCTCCAGGCTGGCGACGCGTTCCAGGGCGATCCGTAACCTCTCGCGAACCTGTAAAACATCAAAATTTGTCAGATATTTTATCGTTAACTTAATCTTTCGTATTATTTAATACTTAACAGATGACTTTATTACTCGATTTCCATCATTAAAAAATTAACTTGCTATTTAAAATTGTGGGTAAAAACTACCGAACAAATACAGAATTTATATTTTTATATATAGTAGCATTAGCCAAAATTAATTAAAATATTCTATATAATTAAAAAACAATTAGATTTATAATAGTAATTTCTACAAATATAACATGATAAAATTTCTTGTCATACACAATTAATCATAAAAATTACACATTAAGATACGTTCGAGTCATCTTGAAGTATGCAATTATCATCTATAAACAAACATTAGGTTACAGCAAGTACAGTACATATGTACCACATTTACTTGAATGCAAGATGCATTTTGTTTGAATTTTACTATTTCTGAAGAGAAAACTCATCTTAGATTTAACATAATATGTCACAATTAGTAACCTCCAAGTATGTTTTTTATTTCTCTGTCACTAATTCCATTGTGCCCTTTTAATGATTTTATTACACCAATATTTGTAATAGGAAATATTTTATAGGTCAACTTAGCTTAGTCTTGTTAATCTATCACAGTAATATTTTAAGTACTCAAACAAAAATCCATGAAAAGTCAGGCGGCACTTTCTGGAGAAATGTCGTGCTTCCGACACTTTAAGCAGCAACTACGACTGCATGCGGAAAGACGTGAATGTCAAATTCACTGTCGAATCAGATGATCCCAACACAGAAAATGAACAATTTCCAACTTCGATACCACAGAAGACAATGATATATAGCTAATTTTACCGTGCAATAAATACTGAACATATTTATGTCGATAGAACGGACTTTGTTGACATAAATTTGTCTGGAGTTGTGTATATTTTTTTTTTTCCAGAATAGAATATCCTTGCGCAAGCACATAAATATTGAAGTGTGTCTTGGATTCAATGGCATCTTATATCTGCATAAACACTGTATACATAAATATTTCTCATAACACACATACACAAATAAATAAAGTAGAACAGATCTTAAAAATTGTATTTTTAGTGATATTTTTTTATTTATCTTAAAAATTTCTATAATTAAAAAAAATTAATATTAGTTCTAACATATTTTAATCTTTCATCTCGAATTAACAATAAAATGTTATGTTTAAATACTTTTTAAATATCTAAACATAACATTTTAAACTTCAAATATACAAAGCACGAAGTGTTTTTGCTAAATCAGAAAACGTATAAATAAATAAATAAATAAATAGTAATAAACATCACTTCTGTTCCCATAACGACACATTATTGAAACACTTTACGTACAGATATTAAATACGGTTTTAGTTTCAACTGATAAACACATAAATCATGTTAAACATTCATTTTGAGTGGCAAAACAATTATAAATTGTTATTTGATATGCTTTGGGAAGCATTCATGATGCTATTTTTATTCAAATCTATAATATAAATCAATATATTTGTATTTAAAATTAAAAAAAAAATTGGAATTCTTTTTGCACTGTGTTATTTATTTACATAGTTCATGAAAATATCTATTTTCGTTAATAGAATTCACGTTCTATATATAAAATTTTATTAGGAAATTGCATGAGAGACCTGAAAAGTTTTAAAGTAACCAGAACAATAATAATATGATAGAAAAGAGCCAGCGTTTTTTAATTTAACATTCCAAATTTGTGAAAAATCAAATAATCCATTACCATGGAATGCATTTTGCAGGAAATGGAGACGCAGTGCCAAGTTGTAGTTTAGTTTCTGACACGGTCGTGCAAAGTCGTTCCGACAAACGTGCGTTATTATATAAGTCCATTTCCCGAACGATTTGTTATACAAAAAGTGAAACTTGTGTTGTTATTAATTCATGTCAGTGGAGTAATTCTTATCGTAATGATGGTCACAAATTTTATTGTGGAAATAGGTCTTTGTAATACAGAATGGCTCAATTACAATCGTATTGCTATAAATGCAAGAAGTGTTTAAAAGAAAAGCAAACTATTGGAAAATGACAGTCAGGTAACTGTGATTTATAATGGTTCAGTTTTTTCTTAATACCCATAAAAAGTATGCAGAAAGGCTAATTAAGTTGCTAAAACATGAAAATTTCTTAAGGAAACACCTTGTAATATCATCATAAAAAATTTAAGAATTTCAGTCACTTCCAAATCATTTGATACCTAGTTTTAATACATTTTCTCAATATAAAAAACATGAGGTAATGGCATCAGAATACAATTACGGTGGTCAAATTGCAGCCTTCTAGACTTTTATCATGACTGCATTATACAGTAATAACTACAGCATTTCAACTATATAATACATATAACCATTCTAATACAAAATGTGGCTCTTTCATATTTGTAACAGACAAAGTTCGGCTCCTATTGTGAGAAGATTTAATTAACCACCCCCACAGTATAACAGACAAATATAAAAGTTATCTCGTGCAAAAATTACATTGTCGAATAGACGACAATTACGTTTAAGAGTTCCAAAATTCCAAAGATGCCGTCACAAGGTATTATAATATGGCAATAAAGTCAATAATGATTATTATTCAATGTAAGATTCTGTTCAGACTTACTTCAAATTTACTAAAAAATTAAATTATTTGAGAGGTGTATCAATCACCTGTAATCCATCAATGTTTTAAATATATATTATATACCTTACTTTTCCTTATAAAATATTACCGCACACAAAAATTTATATTTAACGATGTAAAACGTTTCATATATATATATAATGCATTGTCATTTAATATAATGTTTCAATAATATTTTAGAAGCTTCTTGATATTTCAATATTAATCGGATGCCAAAGATGAAGAAAAGTCTGTATTATTAGAAGTGACAATATAATGAAATTTAAAGTAGCTTCATATGATTTATGTGATATAAGATTACCACAAACAACTTTAACTTTGTAAAATGAAGTAAATTAATAAATAAAAATGCACAAAACCTTTGAAATTTATAGTTGAATGAACATTAGTGGATTCCAAAACATTTGCAGTAGTAAATTGCATAGTCTCACTCTATAATACATTTTCACAAAATTATTTGCTACGAGAGGCCACAAATTATATACAGAACAATGATACAACATAATACATCTTCAGACTCACATAGGTGTAGGTTGTAAACAGGATGCGCATAATAAAACTCAGCCTGTTCTTTCCTATGGATTTCATTATAAAAAGAATAATCCTAGCTTACAAAATTGGGTTGAAGATAAATAATGATAAAATGAAGACGATGTACACTGGAGATAATTGTGAAGAACATACCGTTGGCTGTCGGACACCAATCTAATGAAAATATGTATCAGTTTATCTATTTAGATAGTGTGGTTTCCATTAATAAAACTAACAAGATGAATATCAACTGTAGAATTGGAAGAACATTAGCAATGTTCCGGAGGTTATGTAAAATTTGACTGACATCAATTACTGTTATTGTGACTAATATCCAACTTCAAAATACTATCATCTTGCATGAAAGATGTTTTGTCAACATTGCTCATGAAAGATCTCTACTATCAACACAATATTATTGATGACAATGCCCTGTGAAGAAGTGATTTGTACAGACCAGAGAGCAGTATGATGGAAGATGGGTCACCTTGCCAGATACGTTGTGCGTTAGACAACTTCCATTCTGGGACTACAACAAGATCGACACCATCTGGAGAGAGGATAAAAAGAGGCACACTGCTTAACTAGTCACACTTGGTGATTTAAGACGTGGAAACGAAGCTGTTAAAACAAAGAATTTTTTAAAAGACAAGTTATAAAAAAGTCAACTGAGCCAATCAAGGTAATTCTAGACATTATAATTTGTAACATTATTTTAGTGTATTAAGGAGAAGTACACAACACAACTTGTGTAAAATTTGTTTTATTTGTTATTTTTTTGCTTCAAAAAATAAAATATTACTTATTAACATGTTATCAAATATTAGAACTGATTTAATCATAATTTTGATATATTTTTTCTTAACTTTCATGTAATTATTCCTTTAAGAATTACATAAATTAACTCCTCACTTGTTAATTCCTTCATTTGTATATCTCATTCGCTAAATAAAGAAACTTTAATGCCAAAGTTCAATTTATCCGAATAACAAATTTATGCCCGAATATCTAAACTAATCTTTAATTTAGAAATCCATTAGTAATCAGAAGTTTTACTAGAATAAACATGTTGCAGTATCTTAATCCCTGGTAATTAGATTATTTTATTTTATTTTAATTAACACTTTAAAAATCTAGAAAAGAAGAATAGAATAACCCAGAAAATAATGTAAACTTTTACCCTTTGCTTAGCACAATATGAGTGATATTATCCAGAAAATTAAGAAGAAAAAGGTTTCTAGAATAATTACCGGATGAAGAAATACACTGCATGCAATTATGGTAGACCACATCTTCTTGTGAACTAAAATACTCTAACAAAATGCTGTCCCTCTTTTATCCATATAAGTTGTAAATTCTGGTGTGCCATCCTCTCGCCACCCACAGACATGTGGATGGTCATTTGTCGAATGCCAGAAGAGTTAGGAAGTAATCAAATCTACAGATTGTCAATCCGTTTATATTAACGACCGGCCCCACAAAACCCAATCCGAAGTATATATGATAAATGTTCACTAGAATCTACATCTAATCTTTTACTCCTCTGAAGAACTAGGGGCAGGCAGGTTGACAGAGTACAAAAGAAACTTTTCTTGGCCAAAAAGTAGGTCGGACACATTTCAAAATAATCATCGGAACATACACTTTACTACCTTGATACCAAACCTCTGCCAATCTTATTTTATTCCAAATAATACATTCAAAAATGAAGACTGGATGGAGGTTTACTGTAACACATCTGCACAGTAAGAAAAAGTTGTGGGTTAGAGTCTTATCCCAAATCAATCTTTTCTTCGAGCATACCCTAAATTATTCATATTAATTCAAGGTGTAGCCCAACCGTCTACTTTCGGAACAAATTACTTAATTTTAAACTGACTTTTTTCATTTAAATGAAAAAAGTTTAGCCGAAACAGTTTGAAAAATTTTGGCATTTAGATATTTGCTTATTATTTATTAGCAAGTGTCCTCAAGACAATACTTCATTTATGAGTAAAAAACATCCATTCGTACAACTTGTATTCCCTAATTTTTAGTTGTGTAGATAAGAATATGATAGATTCTCTTGATGATAAATCAAATTAAAAATTTCTATAATTTAGTTAAATCCGTTTTTCTTTACACAATTTCTACGGTATCCAAAGACAATAGATAACATCCTTTGTTTACGGGACAGAAGTAATACCGTAAGACAGAAAACTTGCACCCATTTATAACAATATTAATAAAACCCATTAAAAATTAAAAGTAACAGAAAATTCAGATGAAATATAAAAGTAAGAAATTTAATATATATAAAAGATACTACAAAATTAAAAGAATAAAAGGAATAATAATAAAATTCTAAATTAAATTACAGAAATTCTTGTAATGGAGTGTTAAATATTGTAGAGATGAAAGATTTCTTTAAGCAGAACTTGTCTAAAAAGGCCTGAAATATTTCTACATATAATAAAACAAACTGTCCAATTACTATAACCAACAATGCATTTCCATGGTAAGTGGAAGTTGCAAGTTTGAGTCCCACTCCAAGCCAATCTTTTCTTCCAGAATATTCAAAAATTTAATTAATTAATTTATGATTATCATATTTAATAAGAAAAGGTGGTAGCTTGCCTACTGTTAAACTGATTACTAATTACTAAACAGTTTGACGGGAGGCAATTATCTAGCTTATAGTCCGATAGAGAATCCGGCCGTTCCTTTGGTATTTGATTTAACAAAACATTTGGCTACCTGAAAAATCAGTGCGAATTTCTATTTTTACAATACGGTGCCAATAATTTTACAATTTAAACATTTATATTTTATCTAATTATATAATTTTATGAGGACAAAAAAATTAAATATTGCCACAATAATACATTAATAAAATTTGCTCAATTAATGTCTTTGTCCACAAACGTCTCTAACTTATTGCAATTTGTTAAAAAAATTATAATAATAATCCAGAACATACTTCTCGGCGTCTCCACGGACTCTATTTTTGCCAAAATACATCCAGGAAATCTTCGGAAGGTCGACGTACCACGGCCATTACTATTTAAATGCGAATTTTGCTGTTGAATGGGTTGAGAATCTAATAAAAATTTCTGGATTCTGGAGAAATATCTTTTAAGAGTACTTTGGAGTTATTGCAAGCATATTATTGTGCCATCTTTTGCTGCAGCATTTAATTTGAAGGACGTATTTTATTATAAAAGAATATTACTACCAAGTATTTCATTACTGTTGGAGAAAATGATAGTGATTTTGTCATAAAGGCAAAAGTTTAACTTGTAAATTTTTGTAAATATTTACATATTTGTTTATTTTACACAATTAGTGTAAGCTAAAATTCTCGGTTGGATGATATTGCAAAGTCTGATTGATAATACAAACAGCCATTAAAAAAACTGTTGTTTCATTTCTTAATTTCAGACTCCCAACAAGTTTTTTATTCCATTCAACCATTGTACTGTTGTATGCAGAAGTAATGAAGTACGAAGACTTCCCGGTTTTTGCAAATGATAAAAAACAGTCTAGCATTTAGCGGCTGTACTTTCTTATAAAGTTGATTACCTTAATTGCATCTGGTACAACGTGCCATTGCCGTGCTTGAAACATTTTTTTAGTCTCGAACTGCTTAAATTGAATTACATTCCAAATTAAAACATATGGTACTTCTTTATCTAATGCACACTATGATGTCCCTCGTCACCCTAGTCATACTTCTGGCTCCGTAGGTGACACGTTAGAAAATTTTAACAACTTTGTCTCAAAATTTTTTGTTATACTAAAAAAATCATCTAAAATTTTGTAAATTTTTTGCCAGTTGCAAAGCTAGACGATAGCTTAAGTATGACGAATCCACATTAACTTTGTCGCAGTACAAGTAGGAAACATGCTAAAATCCTAGACCTATGAATTAAGGTTTATCAAACAACTCTATCATTTCTTTGATATAATAATGTGTATATTATATTTGTATAAAATAAGTATGACAATATTGTCATTTATAAGAATAAACTGCAATAAACCTCACCTTTTCGTCTAAGGCTTTGTGATGTTCGAACAATGACTTTAAAGCTTTTAGAACTTCCACTTCGGAAGAGACGCCCGCAGGCGACTGGGCCTGTCTCTTCACCACAGTCATCCTCAGCGAACGTTCGTGTCGTGACACCAGACATTCTAAGTGTTCCAAAAGCAACTAGAAATAGAAAATAGTTGTTATTTTATAGAAATTACATATCATTTACTTAAATTTAAATGCTTATCTATTTAAATTAAAAAAACACTAATGCATACAGTATACGTTAGAATAAATGACAATCCTCCACAAGATTAAATTTAGAAAAAAGTATTCCCAATCAAACTGTTATTTACAATGCTTAGAACAAACAATTCTTCCAATTTTCTTTCTTTCCCTCCATCAAAACCACAGCATTGAAAGCCATTTTCCCCAAACATAAAATAATAAAACTGGATTACAACAGCTCCACTCTATTCCAGATGCAGATGCTTCTCGATCGGAAAGGACGAATCTGCCGGATGTAAAACTGGACGTACGTCTTGATACCGTGATGCCAAATGAAAGGATACTCATTAGAAAGAAACGTCGTAAGATTATTCTCAGATAATTCTTGTAATGCCAATTAGAAAGTGAAGGAGATTTAAAAGAGAGAGAAAGATCAAAAGAAAGGAAGAATGAGAAAAGCAGGAATTACAGCAAATCTTAAAAAAGAAACAATGGAAGAGCAAAGAAACAAAAGACAGAAGAGGAAAAAATTCCATAGGAAGAATGGCTAAATCACTACAGTTGTTGAAATGTTTTTATTCTTCCTTACAATTAATATAATACCTACTTCTAAAGAAATCTTTCTAAAAAATCTATACTTCATTTTGTTAAAATCATCTGCTATAAGAGAACATATCAAACTCTTTTTGACTAATAAAGAATTACAACAACCAGTTCCAAAATCTGCTATTCTATAAAACAAATCTCTCAATATTTTACAAAATTCACACAAAATGTACTGAAATGATAGGAATTCATTAAGTCAGAGAGCACGAGATGCGTTCCTTCGCTTAAATTTAATCTTTTGAAACATGTAAGCAAATTGGCATAACGTAAGATATTTTGCAGAATAATTTCTAATAAATTTATCTCATTACAAATTTACAAAATGAAACCCTATTTGACACTTGTCGCTATTTGTGTATTTAACCGTTTCCAGTAAAATAAAATAAAAATGTCAACGTAAACAATCTCCGACGTGATTATCTTCTTGTCGTGAGACATTGTGAATTCTTTGACTTAAATAAAAATAAAATTTATGGTATCCCGCAACAAATTGGACCAGAAATTTAGAAAATACTCATTTAACGAGATTTCTTTTACCCATCAAAATAATTTTTAATATTTTTCTTGCCAAAAAGTATTAAATTTCATAATGACACGAGAATAAATACATTCTAAGTTCTTGTTTAGAACGAGAAAAACAAACGCTAAGAATCTCCAAATGATTCTCGACGCAAGATATTAAATATGCTTTCCGTACGTCATCGTCCGATCATTCTCTTCGGCAACCGTGTCGCTTCTGAATTTTTCATCGCGTCATAAATAATAAATACGTTCGTCGTGCATCACATTCGATAACAAAAAACAATAATAAAATCGTGACGGCAGAAATGAAATAGAAAACAAAAGCTGTCGACGTGCTCGGATTGCTTTTAAGTAATAAAGAAATTCAAAATTATTTATTTACTTCTTGTTTTCGTATGTTTACTCCATTAAAAATTGAAAATAGATTATTAAAGAACTTATAAATATTTAAAGAAATTTACGTTGTAGAAATGTAAAATCAAATTATCCTCAAATTAAATTGTAGAAATGTTCAGGGATTATCGAATTATGTGAGTGCCAGTTTTAAGCATCTCCAAATTTTCTCTTTTGGCATTGGTTGTCCGATTAACGAAGATGCGGGTGAACATTTTGAATATTCTCAGATTTGCCGAAAGCAGACTTAACAGAAAATGAGATGTAAGGATATTACAGTGTGATAGTGTGTATAGTTTTACTAGGATATTGCCAACAGCTTGATGCAAAGGGTCTGGAAGATATGAGTGGCAATGATGGAATTTCTGTGATTGTCCCTGTGCAATAAAAGAAACTACACTCACTTAGAGGTCAGGACGATTACTTCCAGTCGTTATTGCACCAGAAACAATAAGAACAGTGATTATACCATTTGGCAAGCAACTTTTTGTCTGCCATATAGTCAACACTACGTGAACATTTATTAAAACAAGAAAATTACAGAAGAATAAAAACGTTGCTGCAATTTCAGTTCTACTGTGGAAGGAAATAAAGAAATCTTAGAAATTCCTCATTTTATAATAAGAAATTGCCAGATATAATATGTAATAAATAAAATAAAGCTAGAGTATTACTTTCTTTAATGATAATTTTATCCGCATACTGCTCCCCCAAGTTTATTACAGATACGTAATTGATATAAAACAATGTAAGGATTCCAAATTCCAAGGAATAACCATTCCCAAAATATCAAACACAGTTGTTGACGGCATAAATAATTAGAAATTCGTAATTGTCTGGTTTAAATGTAAATATACAAAGAATCAATTACACTTGGGTGCTTACTTATTACTCATCTCATTTCATTGATTAATACCGCTTCCACTTAAGTAAACATACGACTAAATTATTTATTTGAATCAATACGATGAGGAAAAATTAGAGAAAATGTGATAAGCCACCGATAATGTCTCCGAGAAAATATTTTATCCCTCAGGAGAAAACAACAGGAGTTTTGCACCTGAACATAAATGAAGGTCACTAAACATCTAATTTGAGTTACTACAACATGAGAACAGCATCAATTCTGTTTGCATCCTCTTGGAATCAAATGGTTTGCCTTTTTCGTATTTAGCTAAAACATTTGCTTGAGTTTATGACCTCTAATGTTTAATGGAGTACAGCTGTAATTAGATAGTTAGCCACTGTTTGATTGTCTTGGAAGAAGTTGGCAGACGAATTACGTCGTTCAAAGAGCATTGATAGCAATTAAGTTCTTTTGGAACAAATTATAAATAGTAGTAGTTTTGCTCACAATAGTTTTTTTTTTTTTTTTTTGAAGTGTGTCCAATTACTTAAACTTTTCCATGTAGTGGACAGGTTTAAGTTTTATGTATGATATTGCAGTTTCTCCTAAGGTAAATGTCAGAAAACACCTTCCAGAGACCCCAAAATTCAGGGGAATGAGGTCCAGGTTCCATAGAAGATTATGCAATTGGTAAAGAAGTCTTCCGAAAACCATAATGTGCACAAGCGAGCGGTAATGCTGTCAGCCGCAAAGTGGAAATGCGGGACGTACGACTTACTGGTCACGCACATGATGCATACAACTTTAACGCCATTACAAATTTCTCACTGCACAATAACTTTTTGGACGCCCCATATTTGAATATTTTCAGACACGTTGCACTAGTCTCGGGCAACATTTAGTCTTTCCAAAAAATAGATACCATCATCCATCTTTGGAAAGACTTTTATTATGTTCATATCATTTGGAAATAAAAAAAAATTGTAGCAATATCCAAATTCNCTTTTCCGGGACAACTGAGTGACTTCCTGATTGTGACTGAAAGTGCTTTAAACTATATTTCTAACTTAGATTTACATTTATGATTTGTGTTCTTACTTTTTCTGCTTTCTGTTCTTGTTAACAATTAGATGTGTAGCCATACGCTAAATAAATAAATAAATAGTAAAAGACATCACTTCTGTTCCCATAACGACACATTATTGAAACACTTTACGTACAGATATTAAATACGGTTTTAGTTTCAACTTTATGATTTGTGTTCTTACTTTTTCTGCTTTCTGTTCTTGTTAACAATTAGATGTGTAGCCATACGCTAATAAATAAATAAATAGTAATAAACATCACTTCTGTTCCCATAACGACACATTATTGAAACACTTTACGTACAGATATTAAATACGGTTTTAGTTTCAACTGATAAACACATAAATCATGTTAAACATTCATTTTGAGTGGCAAAACAATTATAAATTGTTATTTGATATGCTTTGGGAAGCATTCATGATGCTATTTTTATTCAAATCTATAATATAAATCAATATATTTGTATTTAAAATTAAAAAAAAAATTGGAATTCTTTTTGCACTGTGTTATTTATTTACATAGTTCATGAAAATATCTATTTTCGTTAATAGAATTCACGTTCTATATATAAAATTTTATTAGGAAATTGCATGAGAGACCTGAAAAGTTTTAAAGTAACCAGAACAATAATAATATGATAGAAAAGAGCCAGCGTTTTTTAATTTAACATTCCAAATTTGTGAAAAATCAAATAATCCATTACCATGGAATGCATTTTGCAGGAAATGGAGACGCAGTGCCAAGTTGTAGTTTAGTTTCTGACACGGTCGTGCAAAGTCGTTCCGACAAACGTGCGTTATTATATAAGTCCATTTCCCGAACGATTTGTTATACAAAAAGTGAAAGTTGTGTTGTTATTAATTCATGTCAGTGGAGTAATTCTTATCGTAATGATGGTCACAAATTTTATTGTGGAAATAGGTCTTTGTAATACAGAATGGCTCAATTACAATCGTATTGCTATAAATGCAAGAAGTGTTTAAAAGAAAAGCAAACTATTGGAAAATGACAGTCAGGTAACTGTGATTTATAATGGTTCAGTTTTTTCTTAATACCCATAAAAAGTATGCAGAAAGGCTAATTAAGTTGCTAAAACATGAAAATTTCTTAAGGAAACACCTTGTAATATCATCATAAAAAATTTAAGAATTTCAGTCACTTCCAAATCATTTGATACCTAGTTTTAATACATTTTCTCAATATAAAAAACATGAGGTAATGGCATCAGAATACAATTACGGTGGTCAAATTGCAGCCTTCTAGACTTTTATCATGACTGCATTATACAGTAATAACTACAGCATTTCAACTATATAATACATATAACCATTCTAATACAAAATGTGGCTCTTTCATATTTGTAACAGACAAAGTTCGGCTCCTATTGTGAGAAGATTTAATTAACCACCCCCACAGTATAACAGACAAATATAAAAGTTATCTCGTGCAAAAATTACATTGTCGAATAGACGACAATTACGTTTAAGAGTTCCAAAAT